TCAAACCCAACCAACTTTGAGATCATGACCTGAGCCTAAGTCGAATGCTTAACCGACTGAGCCACCCAGGTGCCCCTGGACTTCCACATTTCTTTAAGTTGGAAACCTTGGAGGAAATCACTCAGCTGCACACGTGTGTTACATTTCATGGAAAAGGAGCGATGACTAAGACGGCAGAACCGAGAACCCAGAGAGCAGAGCTCAGAGCTATAGACAGATTATTCCTGGGCAGCAGTAAGACTGAATCTTGGTGATGGACCTTCCAGCATTTCAGCAAGGCTACAAACCATTAACTCCTTAATTCTTCCCAGTTTCCCTCCTTTAAACAAGAATGTCTGTAATGGTTATCCTGTCTCTGTTCCACCACTGTATACTGTGTGTGCATGCGTGTGGGGAGGGGGGGGCAGCAGTGGGTAATGTGCCTCTGTTGTTCACACGTCTTCAGGTTGAGAGAAGGTCTACTGAAGGACTGTACCCAAGGAGCCTTATCCATTCCAGGAACTGATGTAGATGATGAGAATCTGGAGTTTGAGCTGACATGTTGGATTTTGTGGACCTTGGGAAGAGTGAGTATATTGTGCATGTGGGAAGAATGTAAATAATTTGTGGCCAGAGGATGGACTATGGTATTTTTTAATGTATCCATAACTTCTTTGATATTCCTCCGCTCAAGAGGTGGGGCCCAGTCCCCCTTCTTGTGAGTGTCCTTGGACTTAATGACTCATTTCTGATGACCAGAATAAAGTAGAAAGAGAGGGAAACGTGTACAACTAGTAGTACAAGCTGTTGTGCCTCTGTGCTCTTTCTCGGTTATTCTGGGAGAAGTTAGCTGCCATGGCATGAGCAGCTGTGTGGAGTGGTCCATGTGGCAAGAAACAAGAGTCCTCCAAGAGAGCCATGTGTGTGAGCTTTCCTGGAAGTCAGTCCTCTGGTGCAGTCATGCCTTCAGGTGACTAGTCCTAGCTCACAGCTTCGTTGCAGCCTTGTGAGAGACTCCGGGGCTGAATCACCCAGCCAAGCTGCTCCCGAATGCCCAACTCTCAGGAACTGTGTGAGATACTAAATGTTTTCTTAGGATGCATCATTTTGGGTACCTTGCCAGGCAGCAATAGATAACTAGTATAGCAAAAGGGAAAATAGTCTTTTGTAACATTTGTCAAATAAGTTCACTTGGTGAGCTTCTCAATTTTGGATCATCATGGAAAAAGCCAGTGAGGCACAGAGGGAAAATAAAGAGGGAGATAAGAGAGGAATGAAAGAGGAATAAAAGAAAAAAAATAGCAAGAGAAGGAGACGGGAAAAGTGTCCATCTTTCCTAGTTTACTCGGGACAGTCCCAGTTTGTAGAGTTGTCCTAATACAATTATGACTAGAGTCCCCTTGGACTTTCAAGTGTCTTGGTCTGAAGGTAAATTATATGACTCTAGCTAGAGGCCAGTATTTCAGCCTCCCATCCTCTCTACTTTTTGCCTTAATATCCTTTTTTTTCTTTCTTTTTCTTTTTTTTTATACCATGGCTTGTTGCCCACAGCCTTTTTCCAGTCTGTTCTGATATGCTGTTTACTGGGCCAGAGTCCTAACTTTCCCACCAAACTGCAGCCTGTCACCCGTACCAACTCCAGGAGTTAGAAGTCACCTCTGTCCACTTCCTGGCATTCTTACGTCCCAGTAAGCAGTTCGTCACAGCAGCAAAGAGATCAGTGCAGGAACTGGCAGGAATACCTACTGGGGGAATTACTTAACTTCTTTAACCTTCTTTAAGATATAAGCTTAGAAATATAATATAATCTATTATCTTATAGGGACATGGAGAATGATAATGGGATTGTGAATATAATGTGCTTAGTACAGTGCTTGGCAAATATAGAGAAGATACACACACACACACACACACACGCTGGACATGTATCTTTAAGCATCATATTTACATAATATATGTGATGAATATATGTTAGTTACAATCTGGACTTACTCTCATAGAAGGCAAATTCATCTCATTGAGGCTGAAGCACCTTAGGTGTTGGGCCATGTATTTTACCGGGGAACTCTCAAGTACGTAATTGTATTTATTAGTTTTAATGTTAGAAGGCAGAACATGGCTAGGAAATGTATTTAGGAGTAAAGCTAAAGTCAGGCAAAGATTGTATTTGCTTTGCAGTCTTGATATGCCTTACTTTGCTCATTCATTCATACATTTATCCACTTATTCTTTCAATAAAGATGTATTAGTTATCTATCACACACACGATGCTAAACACAGGATTGAGCAATGCTTTGCAACAAGAATAAAGCTTTATTCCCACTTCTTCAAGGAAAACATTACATTTCAAAAAGTGTTATGTAGGAATATAAGTGACTAGTGATCTGAAGCCAAATTAAAAAAATAATATATATATCTACACGCACACACATGTATGTCTTTCAGGGTGACTAGATTTTATTTTAAATTAGCTTTGAGCAATAGAAGCAATTTTCTGCTATAAAAAGGAATGTGTTTTGCTTTTGACTTAACTTGACTTTTTTTAAAACTAAGAGTGGGAAAATGCAAATTATTTGAATATATAATTTGGAATCCTGGTGATATGAGCAGAAGGAGCTGAAAAGAAGACAGATTTTTTTTTTTTTTTTTTTTTTTTTTTTGCCACAGGCAACCCTCTTTTCTGTTTTTAGGAAGAAAGAAAACTAGTAGACAGAAATAGTCCCAGGTACATGGATTATATATTTTATCTGCATAGCATAAAATATTCAATAAAGTTAAGTAGGTGCCTGAAAACCAAGAAACTTCAATAAATGAAGATGTTGACAACAATTAAAATAGGCAATACACATATATACGATAGGTTTAAGGCATTTGGCAATATCACTTTTTTTGATTTTTAAAACTATATTTTCTTTTCACTATTTTTAATTCCCTTTGATAATGAGCACCACTTTATACTTTTCACTAGCCCATAAATTTTTATTTTTGTGTTCACACTCAAGGTCAAGTTTATGAACATGCTACAAATAAGCTAATTGTAGATGAATTGGGGATGTTTTTTAGGAGCAATAATAACCAACACTTAATTTATTAAGTGTTCGCTAAATTTAAAGCCTTACAGGCAATTTCCCCTCTAATTCTCACAACAACCATAGGACTTCGCCACTGTCACTGTCTCATCTCACATGGAAAGTGGAAGAACCTTGCTTGACTACAAAGGCAGATGGTGACAGAGTCAGGATTTGAACCTGGGGAGTCTGGCTCGAGAGCCATGCCTACCCACACTGTTTTGAGTGGATGGGCTAAATGTATTTCACCTGTTTATGTATGGTTCCCAATTCATTAATCTCTTTTGAAAAAGTTACATCTTCTTGGATTCCATTTTAAGTCCTTGTCCTTGGCTCTGTTCTATCCAAGGATTATTTAACTTAATAATTATGCAAGTCCACACCTGTCTGCATGATACACTGACTCATTCATTTAGCTGAAAGGTAGAAACCAAATTGGTTTTTAAAAATACATAGGAATCTAATTGAAAAATTTCATGAATCACCTTAATGAGAAACTAGTAGCAGAATATCAAGTAGAGAGAGCCTCAGACAATTGCTTTTTAAAAGCCCTGGTCAACTATACATATTCATCTCAAATGAAAATGCTTCTCTAGCAAGACATTGCACGACAATAGTAATCACTGAAGTTTAGGATGTGAAAACCATTTCAGTGACTTAAATTATTGTTCCTTATTCTTCTGTGTTTGAAGATAATGGTGTGTCTACTTATTATTGCATCGTGAAGTGACCAGTATTCTTTACAGCACTGGATAAATGAAAGACAAACAAAGTTGATATCATTATTTGCCAGCTCTCGATTTTTTTCTTGGCGGTGGCCATTCATCATTTCCTCCCTAATTTGTCCCAGGTCTCTATTCTCTGTTAGTCTTCTGCCAACAGCCCTCAGCTCTGCCACACAGTTCAGAGAATGCTCTGTGTGTCCTTCAAACCCTTAAACAGCTTCTGCGTCATGGAAAATTTTAAAATGTTATAACATCTTGCTATTATTCTGTATGAATTTACATTCTGCTGGACTTATAAGCTTAACTTTGTATCTTTTGTAAAGTTTATTTATTTTGAGGAGGGCAGGAGAGACCGGGAGAGAGAATCCCAAGCAGGCTCCCATGACCCGAGAGGAAATCAAGAGTCGGCCACTCAACCGACTGAGCCACCCAGGCGCTCCAACTTTGTACCTTTTTAGAGTGCAGCCATTTGGGGTGTGGTTGTTAAGTACACTCCCTAAGGCATGCTGGTGAAATGGGAGGTATCCCTTCAGACAGTTCGCCAGAGCTTGCTGGGCATCGTTTCTCCCAGACATAATGCCCCTCGTTGCCCGGTGAGGTGAGGGGCAGGAGCAGCGTGCCTACCATCCTAGTTCCTTTCTCCTACTTTTTCCCCGTCATATAAAATTATTTTTTTCCATTGTCATTTTGAGAAAATCAATATCCACTTGCAAATAGCATAAGATATTACGCTTTTCTTCATTAGTTTCTTACCATCCTGTATCTCACCAAACTCACAGATGCCCTTGCACACTGGCCCAGATTTCCACAAACCAGGGAAAGAATGGCTGCAGAATTTTTGGAGCCATGTGCAGAATGAAAATGCAGGGCTTTTTGTTCAAAAAAAAAAAAGCAGGAAAAAGTACCATTTAAGATAGTAAAGTCTGAAGTCTTTTTTTCTTCCACACTCTCTCTCTCAACTTGTCATGATGTTTTCCATACGCTATTTAACGTCATGTTCTATAAATAAAAATTAATCATGTTAAATTATTAACATGGTTTTCACCATTCTTTATATTCTACAATGCCAGGGTTCTTTTTTTTTTTAATGTTTATTTGCTTTTGAGAGAGAGACAGAAAGACAGAGTGAACAGAAAAGGGGCAGAGAGAGAAGGAGACACAGAATTCGAAGCAGACTCCAGGTTCTGAGCTGTCAGCACAGAGCCCGATGCAGGGCTCGAACCCACAAACTGCAAGATGATGACCTGAGCCAAAGTTGGCAGCGTAACTGACTGAGCCACCCAGGCGTCCCTGCATTGCCACTTTTGAATGCAGATATCAGAGTATTTAATGCCTATGTGGAATCATCAAAATTACATCATTCCTATTTCATGGGACCCCTTCCACTTGGCCAGAAGAAGCATATACAAGTGACTCAGGAAGGTTGTGGAGGAAAGGAGAGCTCATCAGCACAAAGCGAGCTGAGGTGGACTCCTGTGGGCATCGGGGTATTTGCAAGGTGAGCGTGGGCCTTCCCAGGTGCCCTGTGACCTTATCCCATGACTCTGGATGCACGTGAATCTGTCCAGGACGACGGCTGCCAGTCCCCTCTCCCGCCAGCTGCTGGACTGACGCGCCACCTGCTTAGGTGGAGAACACCCTGGCAGAGTCCAGCCGGACATCTCCTCTTTCCACGGGCCTGATGCTGCAGCCCACACGGACACGCAAGTGCCCAGGGCACTGCGCCTGTGGGCTAGAAAGCTACACTTGGATGGGGGGGGGGGGGGTGAAAGGCTGGTCTGCCCTGAGCGGCGGTCTCTGGCTGCCGGCTGGCTCCTGGTGTATCAGGCACTGCCAGCCAGGGCGGGATGTCCTCTGCATCCTAGGCCCCCGAGTCCCGTGGGATGTGGATGCCCTTCCCCATTCCCACCCAAACCTGCACCCTTGTCCCTGCCAGGGGGCTGGAGGTTAAGCCAACACTCGGGCAGCACTGGGGAGCCTGTGGCTGGGCGAGGCGGAGGATAGCCAAGAAACATCCTGGGGAGGGCGGGAAGGGGTGGGAAGGAGAGCTGTGGGAGCGCAGGCTCCAAGCTCCCTGTGCAATCTCCACTGCCTCAAGAATTTCACCTATAAAACAAAAATTCAAAGATAACGTGCTTAAGAATTTGAAGATGGTGACTACAGCTCATTAGACCTTAATTGTGGGGCCCTCCTGTCCTGGGCTTTGTGTGGGGACCCTGAGCACATGACCAGGAATATTATGAGCGAGTTAGCTGACCCACAAGGAGGTAGGAGTCAGCAAACAACATAGTTTTAAAATAAAGAGAAAATAACTTTTTGCTGTCCCTTCCCATGATTCATACCTGACAATTTTAAAATACCTATTTTATTTTAAGAAAACTTGACAAACGTGTCAGTCGTACATGTAAAAACCTTGACAGGAAATACAACTTTCCCTGCCCAAACCAGATTTAGTCTTCCTGGTGAATAACAATAATAATGGTATGACTAGCTGAACACATCTGGGAGCCAGACATTGTGCTGGTTAAGCACCGTATAGTTCTCAATTTATAGTTCTATAAATGAACTTAATAGAAATTATCTAATCTCTGTAACACGGGGCAGATACAATTCTTAGCCCCAATTTGGAGATGAGGATCTTGATGTACGGAAGTCAGCCCATCTAAGGCCAGGATCTGAAAAGAATGGTCTAGCACGATCAGACTTTATCACAGTAATGTAGAGTAATTTAATACTGAGAAGCCTATAAAGCAGATATAGCACATCTGGAGGTCCAATTGGAAAAATGTGTAGTCATCACTGGAAGCTGAAAAGGCATTTGAGGTGATTCAATGCCCATTCCTTCTTCCAGACTCTTTTAAATCCAGGAAATAAGAGCACCTGGGTGGCTCAGTCAGTTAAGTGTCTGACCGGCTCAGGTCATGATCTCATGGTTCATGGGTTCGAGCCCCGCGTTGGGCTCTGTGCTGACAGCTAGCTCAGAGCCTGGAGCCTGTTTCAGATTCTGTGCCTCCATCTCTCTCTGACCCTCTCCTGTTCACACTGCCTTTCTCTCTCTCTCTCAGAAATAAATAAAACATTAAAAAAGTAAAAAAAAAAATAAATCCAGGAAATAAAGGATACTTTCTTAACAAGATAAAGGCTTTGTCTCTAATCAACAGGAAAATATTGTGCTTCATTGACATTAGAGATAGCCTTATTAAACAAGAACTCAATATTTCTGCTGTCACAATTAGTATTTTACGTTGTTCTGGAAGCTATAATCAGTGCAATAATGCGGGAAATAGAAATAAGAGCAATAATATAGGAATGGGCAAAGACACAATTACCATCTTTTTCATAGGATATGATTTATCCCCAGAAAACTCAAAAGAATCTATGGGAAAAAATGTCAGAACTAAGAGTTTAGTTAAGTAGCTGAACAAAATCAATTGTTTTTCTATATACCAACAACAATCAGATAGAAAGTCCAATGGGAAAAATTCCCATTTTTAAAAGCAACAAGTATGGAGCTGCTAATTCAAGCATCTGGGTCACCTCTGGGTCTGTTTCTAGGGGCCATTTTACCTCTGGCCAAGGGTCACATCTTCCTGTTTACTTTTGTTTGGGCGGGTGGTTACTCTACTGGCAGATCAGCTGTGCCTACTGTGGATTAATTTTAGGTTTTACTAGGATTGGTCTAGAATCGCTCTTTCTTTAGAGTAGACTTAACTCTTTTTTCCCCCCAAGTTTATTTATTTATTGAGAGAAAGAGAGAGTGAGTGAGTACAAGCGGGGGAGGGGAAGACAGGGGGACAGAGAGAGAAGGAGAGGGAAAGGGAGAGAGAGAAAGAGAGAATCCCAAGTAGGCTCCACGTTGTCAGCACAGAGCCCGAAGTGGGGCTGGAACGCATGACCTGTGAGATCATGACCCACGTTGAAGTCGGACGCTTAACCAACGGAGCCCCCCAGTCACCCCCAGAGTAGTCTCACTCTTAAGGCATGTCTTTCAGTGAATCTTCACACCCTGGCTGGTTTGAACTCTGACATCCCCCAGCATTGTGTGACCTCCGGGAGCTGCTTGCTGCCACGCAGCCTCCTGGAGTCTTGCCCCACGTACGTGCCGCACGACAGAAGGGTATGTCTACTACCAGTTACTCAGCCACGGCCGGACCCCAAACTCTAAACTGAGGTTTTGATTCCAGCGATTAAATATTTTATTTCTGGGAATCCTATGGTAAGTGTATCTGTTTAATTCCAATGTTTTGTTTTGTTGTAAAACCAATTTTGGTCATTTCAGCTTGTGGCACACAGAGCCCTCGTGCATTCTGTCTGTATTCAGTTCCAGGGTCTGATTTGTTGGGGTCTAATTTGCGGTCTCTGTCGCCTCTCACAGTGGCTGGCCCTGTGTGGACTTGGTTGTGTTCAGGGGCTTGTGACTCATCTAGGAGAGCCGTGTTGGTTTCTTCCTTCAGCCAGCTGTGTCTGTGTGTGTACACGGGCCTCAGCACACGCAGGGCCTGCCTGAAGGTTTTAGCCCCAGGAGGGGTCTTAGACTCGGGCTCCCCTCCTGCTGTCCCCAGGTCCCCTGTGCTCACATACTGGCGGCACAGAGCTCGGCCTCCAGGCAGTCCTGCCCCTTCACAAGGCCTGCGGCTCCCTCCTCCTCTGCTTCCAAGCACCCCGGAAGTCGGAAGTCGGCCTGGCTGTCCCCAGTTACCACCTATGTTCCGGGTTATTTCCAATACAGGCTGGCTACCTAGTCCTCACCCCGGCTACTTGAGGGTCAGCTCTTGGAGTTTTAAAAATTTATTTTTACCACTTTTTTTTTTTTCCTGAAGAGAAAAATCCCTGGGATGAGATATGCTTGTATTTGGTGGTCGAGCTGTTGTGGAAGAGACGCTTACCTCTGACCTTTTGGGGAGCAGAAACACATGTATTAATTTTACCATCAGGAAAATAACAAAGAAGTCAACAGATATCTGTATCTGAATTAGTAATGTACATATTTACGTGGTAAATAATCACTATGAGAAATTGAGTTATTGGTATAATCTATTCAGCATTCTCGTGTTGCCTAATTTATTTCTCGAGTCCAAACACTGGCTAAAGGATACTCTGCACAGACGGAATCTTTGTACGTTTTAGAAAAACATATTTAAGTTGACAAATGAAGACTGACATTTGGCTATGCTTTAATAGGCTGAACACCAAGCAAATCTTTTTTCCTTTATTTGTTCATTTTGCAATAAGTCTTGACATCACCTTCTCCTCTTTCCGAAATTTGCTTACTTAGCAGGGCACAATGCAGTTTTGATGTACAATCTGATTTCAAAAGAATCTTTGAGACAGCTAATCTTCTGTACACTCACTGTAATAAAATATTACAGCACAAACGGTATATAAGATACTCACTTTCTTGAGAACCTTTTAGCTCCAAAGAGCAATGACATAAAAAAGTATAGATTTTCAGAGTGTTGTGTGTGGGTTTTTAATTTTTTTTTTTTTTTTTTTTTTTTTTGCAGATTTTCCAGCTTGCACCTTTAACTCTTATAGCACCCAGAGCTTGCAGAGTAAAACATTATATGCCACAGACTGGAAGTATCTTTATTCATTGCCTTTCATTCCTAAACTCATTTTATCTCCGTTTAAAATCTGCTAGTGGACTGATCTTACCTTTAAGCTGCTCACTTCATCCTTGAAAATACAGATAGAAAATGTCATACTGAATTAGACTAAGAATCAAGTTCAGTTCTTGATCTCTTAAGGTAAACATCGCCAAAATATGTTTTATGAGAGAGTGTGGCTTCTATCTTCGCCTTTTTTGTCTACTGGCTGATTTCCACCAATGGCCCTTTATCAACAAATCGCTTTCCCACTCCCACCACCCAAGCTGAAATCATGCCATGTTCTATAAATTCACCTTTATACTCTCATTTTTCTTAAAACCATCTGTCTGCTTCAAGAAGTAACCAACCTAATTCTGGATTTGGTAAATAAATCCACGCAACACCTGACCTTCATGGTTTATTCTTTTTCTGGACTGAGATCCTAAGTTTTAAAAACATGCTTTTCTTGACAAAATAAACAAAAACATGGTAGAAACACCCAAACAGTCCAATAACGGCTCATTAAATATATGAGTTATGGTCCCGTTCATTTAATAGACCTGTGGCCCCATCCTCACAGGTGACCATTGTTCAGTTCTGTATGGGGGCTTCCAGATTCTAAGTATGGAGGCTAAATATATTCTTTTGGTCACACCTTTTTTCCACTCCTTCTTAAAATTGTATGGCAGAAAAGCATAGCTTGCTTTCTCAAGGGCAAGAGAGTACAGGCACACAATTTTCAAATCTCGAAAATAGATGGTAATGAACTTCTAGACCAAAGAGAACTTAAATGCTTCAACATAGAGACCCCTGAAAGAGGCAGGTTGACACTGCAGAGTTCCAGAAAGACTTGAGAATGGAAGGATCCAGATATCTCTGAAGTTGGCATTGTAAATAGGATTGACTGAAATTCTGTTTATAAAGCATTTTGATCTCAAGCTCCCTCCTGCACCAACCCCCTCTCCCCTCACACACCAGCAGAAACCTCTTCTGAGGCCAAACCACGGGTATTCCACATACAGAGAAACTAGCATATTTGAAGGAAGGGGTATTAAATAAAGCGCTCCTTCCTATACACAACTCTGAACAAAATAGCAGCTAGGCTTTAACTGACAGGCAGAAGAAATTGGAACCAAAGAGAAAGACCTATCAATACTGAAAAGTCAAGGTCATATGAAGGGACTCAGCCAGAAAAGCAATGAGTGACACTCACCAGTCAAAAGCTAATTCCATATACACAGAGCTTGTAATTTGTTTTAAAATATGAACATATAGAATAAAGAAAAATATATGAATAAATAAGAACAGGAGGTACATTTGAAGAACAAATTTAAAAAATAGGATGGAGTAAGTAAAAAGCTCAAGAGAATGGATAGACAATAAGGAGGTTCTCAAAAAATCAAGAAATCTTTTAAAGGGGGACAATAGAAAGATAAATAGATCAACGGTAAGGAGGAGGAAAAGAAAAATTACAGAGTGCAGGAGATTTGAGTATCTGAATAATAGAAATTCCAGAGAGACTGGACAGAGAAAATAAGGAGAGGACGAAGTTTCCAAAGAAATTATTGCTTTGTTGTTATTTTTGTTGAACTAAGTTTTTAGATGGAAAGAACTATGGAGTGCCCAGCAAAGAACTATGGAGTGCCCAGCACATCAGTGAGCAACGATCTTTACCAAGTTAGGTCAATGTGAAAGTTCATAACAGTAGGGACAGAGATTCTAGGGGGGAGCGGGGGGACCAAACAGATCAGGAATCAGAGTATGTGATTTCCTGAGAAAAGTGTCCAAAGCTGGAAGACAAAGGGGCAATGCGTTCAAAGCTCTGAGGGCGGAGATGCACCGCCCTAGATTCCTTCCTATCCCTGGACAACTTGTTACCCACTCAGGAGGTACAGTAAACGCATCTTTAGGCATGTGAGAGCTCAGACGTGTATCATGCAGCCTTTCCCAGGAAATGATGGAGGACTGTGTTCCACTCCAAAATGTGAAAAGAGGAAGACCGGGGACATGGAGAGGGTAAAATAGAATCTTTGAGACACAGAGAAGGGCAATCCTAGAATGACTGTTTTTCAGGACTGGAAAACAACCATTGTAGGAACAGTAATACAGGGAGTCCCTGAAGGCATTTCTAAAATGATAATGAAAAACTTACGTATTACCTGATGTGTCGCACTGCACTAACAATACGTGTTTAGTTCTGGAGAGGAGTGTGGGGGTGAACTAATGATGGGTAGACACATGAGAACACATGAGAAGTACATAAAACATGATGCAAACTGAAAAGAGTATTTTAACTCTATGGAAAGTAAGATGTATAAGAAAAGAAATATAATTGATGAACTGAAATAATTGATTTAACTAAAATTACTTTTTTTTTAAATGTTTTTTTTTAATGTTTTTATTTATTTCCAGGAGAGAGAGAGAGAGAGACAGCGTGAGCAAGGGGAGGGTCAGAGAGAGAGGGAGACACAGGCTCTGAAACAGGCTCTAGGCTCTGAGCTGGCAGTCAGCACAGAGCCCGACGCGGGGCTCGAACCCACGAACCGCAAGATCATGACCTAAGCGAAAGTTGGACGCTTAACCGACTAAGCCACCCAGGCGCCCCTAAAATTACTCTTTAAATATACTCAAAGGATGGAGAAAGGGAATGTCTGACCTGGAGGCGGATTGCAGGAGAGCGCCAAATCCTCATCTTCCTTTGTAGGAAGTCAACAGTTAGTAATCTAAAAAATGAAATCAATCCAGAAATATCATTATAACGTATTATCCTGAAACAGGAAGGCAGATACCAAAAGAAACTGCTGCAAGATTAGAAAGTGATCGCCTCTGAGAAGAAAAATGAGGGTTGATGGGAAGAGAGATGCTGGTTTTAACTCTCTAGAGTTCTTTGAATTTTAGAAATATATATAAAATATATATTTTCATATGTAATATATATTTCCATATATATGGAAAAAGCTTATCTTTTCCAGAAAACTTTTATAATAAGGTTTTTATTTCCTCTAACCTTTGTGTGTGTGTATAGATAGATAAATGTAATTCTATGCAATTAAAGTATGTTGTGAACAGCAACAGCATATTGTAGACGTTTCTGTACTTTGCTGTGTGCCTGTAAAATACCTGCAGACCATCTCATATCAGTGGGATAGATGGACTTCATTCTTTTTCACAGTTACATGCAATTTCGTTGTACAGATGTATTTGTTGACATGCAAACTTGTGAATATACATATTGCGATATTACAATCCCAGAAGTAAAATTCTAGGTCAAAACTCCAAATCTTGCCCTCCAAAGATGCTGCACTCAAATTTCTGGCCTCACCAGTATTTGTTACACACGCTTAACCAACACTATATATTCCAAACCATTCCATCTCTTCAATCTGCTATGGGAAAGGATGTATTGCCATTAGCAATTTAACCTGAATTTCTTTCAATTTATTTTATAAAAACTGTCTATTCAATCCCAGTTTAAAAAATCTTTCCTCATTCCAATCCCTTCTCCAGTCTCTTCTTCTTTCTCTTCCCATTTCTCCTAATTGTTTGTCCTTCTCTTCCTTTACGACACTGGAAAAAGTTTATTCCAGAAATCTTTTATAATAAGGCTTAATTTTTTAAAATATTTATTTATATTTGAGAGAGACAGAGACAGAGTGTGAGCTGGGGAGGGGTGGAGAGAGGGGAGACACAGAATCTGAAGCAGGTCCCAGGCTCCACACAGCCCGATATGGGTCTCAAACTCACAAACTGCCAAGACCATGACCTGAGCTGAAGCAGGATGCCTAACCCACTGAACCACCCAGGCACCTCTAAAATAAGGCTTTTATTTCCTCTAAGCATTGTATAATTATGTGCCGACAGTCACAATTACAGATACGATCCTTGGTTTTCAAGATGTGTGCCAAATGATCATGACTTAATGAAAATTATAATGATTGATCAAGAGAATTCTTTGTGTTGACGTTCATCATACGGTATTTCACAGAATATAAGATGTGATTGACTGCAGGGCACACAATTACTTCATGAAGTACTGAAAAGTAAAAATGCTGCCAATTAAGAGAAAAAACCACAATGCTTTCTTAACACTTACAATTTTTATTGTATACTTTGTGAATAATGTACAATTCATAATAGTTTTACATCCTATGGAAGTAAAAGCACTATGTAAAAATGCTAACATATTATATGGCTATAAAACATCAGATAACTCATGTATTCTGAAAACTAGTAAATTTCTAGATGTTGTCTAAGTAAAACGATGCCTACAAAATGCCAACATCAGTAAAACAGGAGCTGCTGTAGTGTTGGCTTAAGGATTTTAAGCCATTTAAACAACCAGTTCTGTAAAGCAAAATGCATACTCCATTAAATCACCATGAAACTTTCTGAAAAGCTTTCTGGTACCCACGACCATAATTCTAAAATGTATGAATTCCTATTATACACTTTGAGAAGCTTTATGGCTCTGCGATTTATTTACACCTATTAAAATCCTGATAAGATTAATTTCACTGGCATGTATTACCATACCAGAGGGGCTAAGATCAATGTCAGTTTGGTAGCCAACAAAAATTTTCAAAGTTTGAAAGTGACATTTTAGAAAGACCTTAGTCCACAGGTATACATAGAAACAAAGTACTAAGTTTCTTGATGCAAGGGCAGGTATATTTGTTTTAAGATAATATAAGAATGTACAACAGGTTGCTTTACAATTATATTTTATAATAAGAACAATAAACTGGATAAATTAAGTGAATTTCTTAATACGAAATGATACTGAGAAATAGCGTAAACCTTTTAACATCTAGACTGCCTGTAGAGTATGATACTAAAATTTATGTATAGTTTCATGTTTCCAAGCAACAATTTGTAGAAAGAAATACTGGGAATAACAGCATACATGAATTTCGTATGTTACTATCAAAGCATTAAAATTTTTCAATTGATGTACACAACAATCCAATGGGAGATTTTTACCTCCCAATTTATAGATGATAAAATTCAAGGGTGATAATACATGATCACTGTAATTTATTACTTTTTCATTTTAATTTATCAGAATATTTTATTTATTCCCATTTTAATATTATGCTGCAGCCTTTCAAATAGAGAAATATTCATTTATATTGATAAAGAATAAAGACTGCATATGCAGTGTGCCCTGGGAGAGTGACAGAATTATAAAAAATTTTAATGAGTTAATTCATTTTTAAATCTATACTGACAGAACTGTTCCAAATAGCATTTTCTCTGTATTTGCAAGATAATATACCTTACAGTCAAAGATGAAAGTAAATTACATTTCTTCAATTATCTTGGACAACAAATAATTAATATCGAGGACACTCGGTATAGACTTTGGACGTGTTAAATGAGTGGGTTGGCATTTTCATTTAGTCAATCTATTGAGTCAACCTTCAAAGCAGGTGAAATTAAATTATTATACTATATGGAATCTTCAAATCCATGAATCATATGTATTTCTATATCAATATAATAAATAATGCCAGATAAAGAATGTACAAAGTTTAACAAATACATAGTCAATGCTAATAGTAACATTTTCTTGGAAATAACATGACTTTTATAAATAGGCAGCTGCAGAACTATCAATTTCACATTTATAACTGACAAAAACAAAGTGCATAGTTCCTATTTTCATATGCAGAAGCAAGGTGATAGTTGGAGTGTGAGCAAATTACGTTAAATACACCTTAGAAAAGAAGATGAATGAACTTATCTTCCACATACAATATATAAATATATTAACTTAAATTCGTTGTTCTATTTTTGTACAGTATCCTTTCATAAACCATACTTTCTAACTGAATGGACCTCCATTAAATGCTATCAAATTATTTTCTCCCTGTGAAAACCTAATTTTGTTTCTCACTAGAAAGTTTTTTCTCTTTAAGTCTTTTGACTTAGTGAATTTGAAATATTATTTTGAAATAATGAATTTAGTTATTCATTACGATCGGCTGTTTGGCCTCACTTTTTCCAAAGTGGTCCTTTTGTGAGAAACAAAACATCACCTTCGACAAATGCAGCCGTGACTCACATGTTGTCTTACGTCATCTTATGTCATCTTACACCCCCAACGCTGCGCGGCACCGCATGGCCCGCGCAAGACAGCACTCCGACTGAGCCACCGCCACGCGCCACCTGCCAGCAGCGGCGGCACATTACAGATGGCCGTGCTGTCACTACCACGGTTTCTACTGTGAAGATGTGAGGTTTTTGAGGAAAAAAATATGTACGTTTGAAACTGCTTTACTATACACATAGTATCAGACATCCGGATGACTTTGGCAAATGAACAAAAACTTTTTAAAAACTCTGATTCACACAGTACATGTTAAGTACTTTTAAAAGTTAAAAGTACAATGTAAACCATCATATTACATAGTAGCTCACTTTTGTTTTTCCAAATTATTTAAATGTAATTAAAAACCTGGTAATAATGGGGATTCATCAACAATTCTAAAGGCCTAGGATAAATCTCAAGTAATAACTCATTTTTCTGAAAATAAGTTCACAGTTTAAAACCAAAGAAAATATGTTGCTGTTAATTTTTAAGTGCTCTAGATTCCAGGAGTCATATATTATTTTGAAATGAGGCAAATTTCTAATAAATAAAAAATACTTAAAATACATTCTTACATAGTCATTGGAAGTATCTATATACTTCTGAAAGGAATGAAAAAGTACAGAGTTCGGTAAATCAATGCAAAAGCTCGACTTGATAACACATAACATTTACAAGTTAGTGAGAAGATGCATTTTATCTGTCTTATGTTCAAGAATCAAGAAAAACTACAATTAGCGTTTCATCTTTTCCTTCATTTCTACATGTTCTGATCTGAGACCTGCTTTTACTCTCTGAAATTTTCGCTTCTTGCATCATCATGTAGACAATAATCCTTTAAACTTTGCTTTAGAAGTACCTAATGAAAAAAAATATACATATAAGCAATATTTATTTAGGGTGAAACCAAGAGGTGATGACATTAATCAACTGTTATTATGACAATAATGTGAAACAGTAAGGCACATAATGAAAACATTTAACAGACAATATAAGGTTCAAAGACTTAACATAAAACATTTCCTTTAACTTAAAAGTTCAGTATTTTGCTAAGCACCTTGTCTGACCTTCAGTATTACAAAGGTCTAGATTATAGGTAGTCGTTTTCACCTCTTGCTTCCATGTACCCTACGTGGGATCAGTGCTGTCTGCGTGACACTACTATGGGTTGGGGGGGACACTGTATGAACAAATGGGATGGTCCTACTGTTTCTTTTTAAATGTTAGTTTAAGTCCTTACAGGCAGTGTAAACTTCCTTAAAATAGAGATGAGGAAGACCTGACTTCTTTTGCCCGCTCAACAGGTACCACCAAAAATAGATAAATGAGCCTACTTGCCACTGAACAGGTCAGAGCCAAAGTGAGTTTCCCAAATGAGTTCCATTAAAAAAAAAAAAAAAAAAAGAAAGCAAGCTTTGAAAGCTTGGTAAAGCGGTGAATACTTGGTTTTCTCCTGGAGACACATAAATAGTGGCATGTGAAGATCTCGAGTTCTAGGGGGGAAGAAACCTACCGTATCGTGTTAATTATGGTATTTCTCAAACTTAATTGACTAAGTAGATTTTTTTTCATTGTTTTTTAGAGTAATACGCATTGATACCTTATAGAACTGCTTTGGGAAATACTGCCATAGACGAATACAAATGTTTCAGGCTTGAGGGAAACAGCAAGAACATATATTCACAAGCATATATAAATGAACAAAACCTTTACTGTCAAGACCTAATCAATATGAACTCAAAATAAACCAAAATCTTGTAGCTACAATAGTACACTTTTAAAAGAAAAAAGGAAAAGTAAACCTTTCATTCTGAAGATCAGCAACAAATGGGAGTTATTTCTCTGGGTTGACACAAACTGAGTTAATCTCCTGCATCTTCCTCAACTACAGCATCCTATGGTGATAGTTTAGTAAACGGTAAATAACACGGCTTTGCCATCAGACAGAATGAGGCTCAAATCCTAGCTGGCCACTTACCAGCAAGTTCTCTATGGCAAATTACTCACTATGTCTTTATTTTACCTGCTGTCACATGGAGTATCTACCTGTGAAAATTAAATGAGATACTACGTGTAGAAGAACACCTAGTAGAGGGTCAGGCATCTAAAATAATTCTAAAAGCTAGTTGCTATTATTACAGCAGATGTTTGGTATGGTCTTATAAAACAGTAATATTCCCTTAGATGCTAATGGTCCCAGAGTATAAAAATCCTATTTGGATTCACTACGTAGATACTATTTGTAGAGCAGATACTATTTGTATCTGCTCAGATACAAAATTGCAGGTTTAACAGAAAATTTTTCATTAAAGACACTCCCAGATAATTCCAGTCAGATGAGTATTTATTCTAGTTCATTTCCAGATCAGTGTAATAGTTGCAAATTCATGCTTTGTTGTAATGTTTACCTCTTAAATCAAATTACTGGTCTAAAATGAAATCATTAGAAGAGTAATTCTTCAACTGAATTAGTGGCCTAAAATAAGAAAAAATAAGTTATGTCTATTTCTTTCAGCTGTTTCCTAAGTGTCATCATAGAAAAATAAATTATGATCATTCCTTTATTTCTGAACAAATTTAGACAGAGAAGACAACATACCTATCTGCTGTGAAGTTCCTTCTTTAGACAGGATTTGAAAGTGGGATACTTCTGAACGGTTTTGTAACCCTGTGGAACAGAGGATTACAAGTATGTGAATGTAAATAAAATGTTATGGGGCCACAGGTATGCAGTAAATAAGTACAGCGAAAATAAAAACACATAACACCTAAGAGATATATATAGGATCAGAGATTTGTAGCAGTTTGTGTTTTAATCTGCTCTTGCTACTCTGAAAGTTTTGAGGGCAAATAAATGACTTTCAATGCATGTCCTTTCAGGTGTTAGGGACGCCCAGTCGCAAGTGTTGACAACTCACCACTAGGTGGCAGTTAAGTACACAGTATGTTTACAAATATTTAAAAATCATTAAAAGTCTTTAAAAACATTGTTTAAGATGAATCTTGGTTTTTTAATATATAACTTTTCTCTTTTTAGAGGTATTAACACTTAGGAGTATTTTTACCAAAGAGACAAGATTGAACGTTCTGGCTGTTAAGAGAAAAACCTTTTTCTTTATTTTCCATTTGTGGCACAACCACAAACATGTTAAATGTGTAAACATTTGTTGATTAATGCTGTATTTCATGATTTAAAACATGTTTCTGAGCAAAAAAATCATTACATTTCCAGTAACTTTCAGTAGAAGATGTTAATGGAAAAAAATAGTTCAACAGACAAAACAAAGGTTTTTGCTCTATTTTCCATTTAAAAAGTACTGAATATGATGCAGTGACTGAAGAGCCTCAAATTGCCTCGTGGGAATGTGCATCGTACAAAACGCGATTTCTTTGTCTACTACCAAGTCTGAACTGCCTGTGTGCTGACTGAACTAATTGAAGAATATTTGGCAACATTTCTCCCCACAAATTGAAAGGAAGACATTAAATTACCTGGATATGAAAATAAGTTACTGAAATTCAAACTGATTTATATTTTTAAAAAGCACTGACTTTTATACCTCAAAGTGTTTTTTGAAAACAGGTATGATGTTATGTGTTTTCTTTTCAAATATGACATTTCATGTTTCTATCCTTAAAATTTTGTATAAATTGTTTCTGAAACTGAGATGAGTTTTTTCTTTCAATTTTTCAAAAGGATATCAATAGGCTTCAAATTTATTTTACCCGGAATCCTCTATGGAGTCTGTCTTTCATAATTCCAATAAATTCTTTATAACTTAATTGATCATCTTTGTCAACGTCAAAAATCTTGAAGACTGTGTTCACTAAATGTGGTGAAAGTTTGAGGCCAGTAGCTACATAGACGGCGCGCTTAAATTCATCTAGATAAATGTTACAGAAAAGGAGTAAATAGTTAATATTATTTTTATAGTATGTGTTAACTGCTAGAAAGGTTATAAAGGAAGTTTCTCTGAACATGGGTCATGACTTTATGTAACACATGACTTTTCATTAATCATGCTCTTTTAGGAAACAGAAAATTTTTGTGGTTTGAATTAAAAGGGCCAAGCAGCAGCTGTATCTTAGGTTAATAACACATTCATATTTGATGATATTTAATGAACACCTACTATCAGTGATAGACATTCTAGAAATTAGGATGAATAAATTACCAAGAAACCTACAGTTCAGAGGGACGATGAGACACCTGTCTGAATAACCACTAGAGAGGAGCACAAAAATATCAACAAAGTGTATGAGAACTTGGACATGCGTGACGACTTCTGTCTGTAGTGTGGAGTCATAAGGAGAGGAAAGAGAAGAGCAGTGGTTAGGAAAGGCTGCAATTTGTATGCGAGCTGAGTCCCGAGGGATGGAAGAATTCGCTTGTGGAGAGGAGAGAGATGGCACAGGAGGTGACAAGAACGAACACAGGCGTGGGGGAAACAGGAGCATCTGAGGCACGCTGGGAGGGCAACCACAGGCGGTCTGGTCCGGACAGAGCCCAGGGGACACACAGCAGCTGGAGGAGCTCTGTGCAGGGCCTCGGAGGTGAGGAGCCCGGACATTCTGCAACAGGCGAGTGTGGAACTGAGGAGTTTCCACAGCGGGCGTGTCGGAGAAGGATCACGTCGTAGAGAGATTTTTCTGTGAGCTGTCTAGGAACATGGGAGAGGAGAGTGGTAATGGCAGGAATCCCGGAGGGGGCTACTGCAGGGGTCCTTCTGAGAGGGAAAAACCTGAACGTGAGTGCTTGTAGTCGCAAGAGCAAAGGAAGAGAGGTGGATCCCAGCACCCGCCACGGCACACATCTGATGGCTTTCGCTCCTAGGTCCACGCAGGAAAGGAGCAGCTCTCCGTTCTGAGACAGGTAAACAGGTGCTGGCTTTTCTTTCCTCTCAAAGTTGACTAGAGGGTTCATCACGGCAGTAACTGCTGGTCTGTGAAGGCAGGGCTCCCAAAGTTTTGGTTTTAAAACTCTAAAGTAGGTTGAGTTGACATGTCCTTTTTAACATCTCACTAGACACAGGGTGAAATATGAAAAATTTTTCTGGTTTCTCCAACTCAGTGAGTACATGAATGAAGCTAGGTGAAGGAGTCAATATCTATGTTTCTGGGAGAGAGAATTTATGAGCATTTAGGGGTTACAGTTTAGCTTCTCCCCAGAACTTGGTGAATAAAACAAGACTGTCCTCTGAGATTTAACCCTGGGAACTAGCTCTTATTAGATTATGGCAGACACAGGTATAACTGCCTCAAAGATGTATGTGGAAAGTCCTCATATGGCAAAAATACTAAAAGATATGACTCATTAGGGAAGGGAAACTGGTTCCAGCGACAGAATCTTAGAAAACAGACTAGACTTGTTAGTCGGTGTTTGGGAAAGAACGAGCTGGTCCTGAGGACAGCAGCATTCCGAATTCTAGGACACTATATTTCTTTGTAAATTAAGTAAAATCAACATTCAATTTTATATATTATTCTTAAAACTTGGTTACTATAAGTCCACAGCAAAGAGGGGGCTCTGCTGGCAAAATTCAGGTTTCTTGATCAGTAGGGATTGAGTGTAAAATTAGAAATATAAATATCACCCTGTGATGATGTTTGGTACAGCCAGTTGGCTTTTCCACAGGTAGATACATATTCCTCAATGTTATCAGCGGCCATGAGGTATCTTCCTCTTTGAATCTTTACAAGCATCATTAAGTCTTCTCAATAATATGAAAGGAAGGCCAGTAATAAATTTAATGGAAAAATTTAGCACATTTCCCTAAACTCTGCTTAGGGAAAACAGATTTCCCATCAAAGTATATACCATACTTTCAGGCAACTTGATGGCTAATATGAAATACTTTATTAATTTGTTATCGAAGCCCCTAGAAACAAGGTAGGATTATTTTTAGCTTCTAAGTTTTGAAAGATGATTACTTACCTTGCCCTATAGAGCGACTTGCAAAGTTATACATATTCAAGGCTATTGCAAAGTCTTCTAAGTTGTTCAGAAACTGGAAAAATGACCTGAATTCATCAAATGTGATGCCCTATATTGGGAGAATACATGGAAATACACTTAGTATTGCCAAACTTATTAAAATAGGCATCTGTACCTACTAGAAATAAATAGATTAAGCACCTGCCATATCTCATGTAGGTAAACATTTCCAGGGCACATTCTGAAGCTTCCTTCCTCAAAACAGAATGTAAAATCCACTCAGATTTATTTCTACTGCATAGGGTTGCTACCATTAACATGACAGGTGAAAATATTTTTAAAACACTGTCATATCAGCACAAAGTTTCAAAAATGATATAATAAAAATGAATAAAAACATTACAATCACTCTGGAGAACTCTTTGGTTGTTTCTTATAAAGGTAAACAAACAGCTACCACATAATCTAGCCATTCCATCCCCAGGTGTTTGCCTGGGAGAAATGGAAACACACGTCTACACAGAGAGTTAAACACAAATATTCACAGCAGCCTTATGCATAATCCCCTAAAGCTGGAAACACCCAAGGTGACAGGTGAATGCATTACCCAAACAGCGGTCTAACAATCCCAAAGGGCCCAGCTATTAGAGAGAATAAAGTACTGATAAGCCTGGCAACAGGGACGAAGGCCAAATAAGTTATGCCGAGTCAAAGAAGCCATCATAATTTCAATGTGTGACATTCTAGAACAGACGAGAGTCGTCTATACTGACGGCAAGGAGGTCTGTGGCTGCTGGGGGGCTGCGGAAGGAGGGAAAAGTGCACTTTTCTCAGGTGACGGAAGTGTCCTAGGACTGTGGTTTCTAGTCTCGCATGAAAGAAACTTGAAAGTAGCCACTCTGTCCTAACAAGTAAAAAACTGAGTAAAATGAATAAAAAGTTTCCATTTCGAAAACTGTATTTCAGGCCTAAATATTTTAGGTCCTGAGAGTAAGCTGATGATTAAGAAAAACGCGGGGCACCTGGGGGGCTCAGTCAGTGGAGTGTCCTGACTTCAGCTCAGGTCATGATCTAATGGTTCGTGGGTTCAAGCCCTGCGTCGGGCTCTGTGCTGACAGCTCAGAGGCTGGAGCCTGCTTTGGATTCTGTGTCTCTCTGCCCTTTCCCTGCTCACGTTCTGTCTCTCTCTGTCTCTTAAAAATAAATGTAAAAAAAAAACAAAAAACATTAAATAAAAGAAAAATGAGAGGAAAACCACCCCCAAAACACCAGTGTCTCCTGTACATGTAATTCTTCAATATAACAGCATTAGGCCATTAATGTCTGTAATAATGACAATGTGAAAATCACAGTGTTGACAAGGCCACAGGCAGTGTACTTGCACTTGTTTCTACCATGATAACACTGCCAGGACAGCGCGAGGAGGCACGTGGAGCGCACACTTACAGTCCTGGACCCAACACACAGGGCTTGCTGTGGGACTACGGAGAGGCCTCTAGAATGTCATTTCCATAAACAATTGCCACCATTGGTGGCAATTACCACCACCGCCACTAGCTCAGTGCACCATGTATCTCAGATAATGTACATCTGGCCATGAAGAGCTACATTTCATTACTGTGTTCTCAGCAAAATCAATATAACTGAGAAAGGAAAACAGGCAGAGGGCTAAGAGCTTAGGCTTAACAATTTCTCACCTTAACTAAGTACAGGAAAAGGGAAGGGGAAGCCAACGAGGCAGCACTGGAAAGGCAGGGGAAGAACCAGAGGAGTCTGCTTTCATATAAGCCAATTACTGATTAAATGACTACCAGAATAATATTATCAGTTTGCTGTCAAACAAATAATACCAATTTTTGGTATACATTATTTCCACTTCACCTGCAACCCCTTTTTACTTGCCAGGAGAACTCTCACTGTCTTTTCTCTTCACAATTTTCTCTTCCTCTTTGCTTATACTCATGTACGGCCACTCCAACCCTGGATCCTGCTTTGTGACCTGACCCCACTGGCCGTGCGCTCCAGGGACGGCTGTTTGAATCAATTAGGGGGCCTGAGCCAGGAAGGGTTTGTCTTGATGTGGAGAGCCTGTTGCTAGGGAAACTGGCCACTGTTCTGGTTCTATATCAGGTTATGCTGTGACCAGCTGCCATAGCAATTTTTAAGAAAAGTAGAAGCATAAATGTTAATATGCTTAGGGAGCATAAGATTAAAAAGCAAATCGAGGTATGACAATACAATGTTCACTATCTGAATCTTTAGATTTTTCAAAAGAGGGATGTCATGTTTGGAAAAGAAAGGTCAGATTCAAAACCATACAATTATTCTTTTATGTAGATTAAATTCTTTGTGTTTGGAAATAGAGAATTGTAAACCGAAGAACAGGGCATTCATTTTGATGGAGACAATTGAATGCACTCCATTTTTAAGAGCACTGAGGGAATGATAGGGTCAGGGAGCAGGGTTGTTTCTTCTTCCTCTCCACTCTCCTCCCACCTCCAGAATCACTTTTGTAATGAACCATTTGGACCTAAATGGAAAATGTTCTAAATGTGAGAAGTGGAATAAAAATAATATTTTAGAATGTAACAAAAACATGATGATAATAACTAAAAAATGTAAAGCATCAAAAAGACATGAACTGAGGGTCGAGAAATAAACCCAAATACCTATGAGACAATGCTGCTCAGTATGAGTGCCAAGGCCATTTCCTGTAGAAAGAACGTCTTTCTTTTTAACCAATGGTGCTGGGACAACTGCTTATCTATATGTAAGAGAACGAAGTCAAACTCTTATTTCACTTCACCAACAAAAATGTACTCAAAATGGGTCCAAGACCTAAATTTAATAGCTAAAATTATAAAAATCTTACAAAAAAACAGAATCAAAAACTTTATAACCTTGGAACTGGCAATGGTTTCTTCCTCTTGTTTTATTTTAAATCAATATATTCTTTATTTTCAAAGTGGAAGAGATGTTGTATTTTCTATGTGGTGATGGTTTCTTAACATGCTCACCCAATATGAGCAACAAAAGAAAAAACAGATAAATGAGACTTTGTCAAAAGTAAACATTTTTGTGCATTGAAGAATACTATCAAGGAAAGTAAGAAGACAACACAAAAAATGGGAGAAAATATTGGCAAATCATATATATGACAAAATTCCAGTATCCAGAACATATAAAGAACTCTTAAAAATCAATAACGTAAAGACAACACAATTAAGAAATGGGAAAGACTTGAATAGACATTTCTCCAAAGATATACAAATGGCCAACAAGCACAGGAAAGGATGCTCAGCATCGTTATTCACTGGGGAAATGCGTATCGAAACAATGGTACCACCGCACATCCACTACGATGGTGAAAATTAAAAAGGCAAGCAACACCAGTGTTACTGTGGAGAAAAATGTAGAAAAATTAGAAACTTCAGACATTATTAATGAGATTACAATATGCTGTAGTTACTATGGAAAACAGTTTGGTAGTTCCTTAAAAATGTTAAAAATTAAAGATGCCACATGACGCAGCTATTTACTCTGAAGTATATTATCTAATTCTCTGACAATTCAAAATGTATGTCCACATGAAAAAAATTGTATACAAATATTCATAATAGCATTATTTGAATGGTCAAACTGGAAACAACTCAGAAACAATTCACCAACTGACAAACAGGAAATGGGGTACGTCTATATAATAAGGTAGAATTTGGCAATAAAAAGGACTGAAGTGTCATTATTTGGTAAAATATGGATGAACTTTGAAAAAGTCATGCTAAGTTAAAGAAGCCAGACGTAAAGGACCACAAATTATATGACTGTGCTTATATGAAATATCCATTATAGACAAGTCCATAGAGACGGAAAGCAGATTAGTGGCTGCCACGGGCTAAAGGGAGGTGGACTGGGGAGGGACTGCTTAATGGGTTTTGGGCTTTCTGCTTAAGATGATGAAAAAATTCTGGAACTAGTACTAAGGATGGTTATAGAACACTGTGAACACAATGCCTCCAAATTTTACTCTTTAAAATGGTTAAAATGGTAAAGATGGTAAATTTTATGTTACGTGAACTTCCTAATAAAAATTCACATATACTACGGAAATATGTCATTCAGGATGTGAACAAGCAAGTGGAAGTGCACTGGGACGGAACTGTGGCAAGGCCTAAGTGAACGAAACTGAGACAGCTGATAAGACATAATTCAATCAAAAGACAAACTAGAAAATGCTGTAGATCTCAAGCTGCTACTGTGACTACACTTGTACCCACGGACACCATGCTCGATCTGCAGCCCTGATGATGCTCCCCATGTGTGCACCTGTTTGTCTTTGGTTGAGGCACATATGCATGAAATACGACTAGTAGGAAGCTGGGGGAGCCGTGCCACAGAAAATGGCAGGAGAAGGTGCTCAAAGAGTTAGTTGGTCCCTCCACTGAAACAACCATTAGCTGGGAAAGACTAACAGGATTAACTTTTTTCAATCTCTGGAATTCAATCCAAAGTTCACAGCAAGGAGGGACTGGTTAATGAAGAGAACAGTAGCTGAAAATCAGTGCGAGGGTGCTGTGGTGTTTCTGTCCACTGAATTACCATTTTTATCTTTCAGTGCTGAAGGATAGTGGCTGGTATTCCTGCTGTGGCTTCCTGGTGCCAGAGGGCTAATACGGTATGCGATTATTAAATGTTATTTAAAATAAAACGTATTGGTAGTGAAATGTTGTTATTAAAATGTTGTACTATGCGATTTGACCTGTATGGTGGTTCTCTGAGGGGCGGGCGCAGAGGCTGACTTTTGTTTTGCCCCCTCCCTCCTGTACCGGAGTGCCCTTCCTGGGGACAGTAACATCTACCAAAGATTTAAAGACGTGCACACTCTGTGCCTGCCTGACACAAGGGATGACGGGTGGGACAAGTGGCAGACAGAATCGAAAATCTTGACAAAGGGAAGGCCGAGGAGAATGGTTACTGGAACAGGGGCCCACAGGCACGTGGGAGACACCTGGGAAACTGGACATGCCCAGGAACTGACGTGTGCTCTGAAAATACCTAAGGATGTAAGGTTACCACCTCTTGCAGATCTGTGGGCTTTGTGGAAGCAGGAGATGACGGCAAAGGAAGAGGCTTCAGTAGCCTGGGTTCGTGCAGAAGGAATAGCTCAGAGCTGAACTGCAAAGAAAGGACGATCTGCTTTGCTTCCCGGTTCTGGGCATGAAAGGGAACCTAACGGTTCTCTGGCTAATCACTAACACAACAGAACAGAGTCTTCAGTAACTACACATTGACAAGAAATGCACTTTTTTCCATTTGTTTAGTGATTTCGCAAAGCTATTTTGCTCAGGCACCAGCAGGGGAGAGTCTGATTTTTTAGAGTTAACACAGTATAATATTCAAAATGGTTAGGTTTTAGCAAAAAATTACAATGCATACAAAGAATTAGGAAAATATGACCTATTCATCAGGAAAATACATAAAAAGAAACTATCCCCGAGGAAGTCCAATCACTGGACCAAATAGACAAAGACTCTGAATCAACTAAAATACACTCAAAGAGCTAAAGGAAACCATGGATAAAAAACTAAAGGAAGTCAGGAAAACTATTTATGAACAAAATGAGAATATCAAGATAGAAACTGTAAAAAGGAACCAAGTAAAAATTCTGGAGCTGAAAAGTACTATATCTGAAACACAAAGGTGAGTAGGTGTTCAACAATAGGTTTAAATAGGCAAAATAGAGAATTTGTGAACTTGAAGATAGAACAGTTAAAAGTATTCAGTCTGAGGAGCAGAAAGAAAAAAAAAAAAAAGTTAACAGAACCTAAGGAACCTGGGGACACCATCAAGGGTACCAATATATAAATGATGGGACTTCCAGAAGGAGATGGGAGAGAAGAGAGGAGAAAGAATTATTTTTAAAAATAATGATTGAAACCCTCAAAAATTTGATGAAAAAGCAAAGTTTCCACATTCAAGAAGCTTTATGAACTTGAAGTAGGATAAACTGAAAGACAGCCACACCCTGACACATACTCAAACTGTCAAAATATTGACAGCAGCAGGAGAGAAGTGATTCTTCACAGAGTAAGAATTCTTCCTCAGTAAGACTAACAGTGGATTTCTCATCAGAAACCATGAGGTCAAAAGTGAGGATAGTGCAAGTGCTAAAAGAAAAAAATCTGACCACTAAGAATTGTATATGTGGCAAAGCTATCCTTCAGAAATGATTAAGATGTTCTCAGATAAATAACATGTGGTAAAATAGTCCTTCAAAAATGAAGAAAGACATTCTCAAATAAACAAAACTCAAGGGGGTTCGTTACTAGCAGCTCTGTCCTACAAGAAATGCAAAAGGGAGTCACTTAGGTTGAAAAGAAAGGAAACCAGACTCTAACTCAAAGTTATATGAAGAAATAAAGAATTCTATTTAAGGTGAAGGTAATGGTAATTACATAGATACCACTTCACACTCACTGGGATGGCTTTGACTAAAAAGTTATGTATATATAAAGGCCTTCCCTTTGTCAAGATTTTCGATTCTGTCTGCCACTTGTCCCACCCGTCATCCCTTGTGTCAGGCAGGCACAGAGTGTGCACGTCTTTAAATCTTTGGTAGATGTCACTGTCCCCAGGAAGGGCACACCGGTCCAGGAGGGAGGGGGCAAAACAAAAGTCAGCCTCTGCGCCCGCCCCTATATATATATATAAAATGTCTATGGACAGATGAATGGGTAAACAGGCAGTACACATACAACCGAGCATTATTCAACCATAGCAAGGAATGGAGTACTGACAGAAGTTACATGCATGAACCTCAAAAATATGATGTGACCAAACATATAAGGTCACATATTGCATGAGTCTCTTTATATAAGATAGTCAGAATAAGTAAATCCACTGAGACAGAAAGCTGACAATGGTTACTAGAGGCTGGAGAGAAATGACGTAATTTGGAGGTCTATACACTAATGATTGTACCCCTACATGCTAGAGTCACATATCCAACTGCCTACCTAACTTCTTCATTTAGATATTCTCATAGGAATCTCAAACTGAAATGTCCAAAATTAAACTATTAATTCTTTCCTAAAATCCCAAACTTGAAGTCTTGCTTAGCTCAGTAAATGGTACCACTGTTTCACAATGTGTTTCAGGCCAAAACCCTAGGAATTCTTGATTCCTCTTTTTCCTTCACATTGAAATCTAATCCAGTGGGAAGTTTTACCAGCTTTAAATGATCCAATTTCTCCTCTTTAAATGATCCAACTTCTGACCACCTTTGCCTACATTCACCCTGGTCCATGGCGTGTTCCTCTCCTACCTGTACTTCTGTAACAATGTCCTAACTTGTGTCTTCCTTTCAAAGCTGGGCCAACTGAAGTGTACTCTGAATATACTGGCCATGATGATCTTTAGAAAGAGGAATCAGATTAGATCTGGCACGTGAGTCAGATCATATTTAGGTGTCACAGCAGACAGCAAATGCTTGCTGAATAAATGCTTGATGGATGAATGCATATATGCCTAAGTTCTAAAGCGAGGTTACCAAACTTTTTCTATAGTAGGCCAGAGGGTAAATATTTTTATTTGTTTAGGCAATATAGTCTTTGTTGCAACTACTCAACTCTACCATTAGGGTGCAAAAGCATTCAGACATTACATTCAAAGAATGACTGTGGCTATGTTCCAATAAAGTATTATTTACAAAAACAGAGGAGGTGGGTAGTTTGCTGACTCCTGTTTCAAAGTTTAAATAATGCAGTAGTGTCCCATCACTCTTAAAATGACCATTAGAATAAAACTTAAATTCCTGATCTTGGCCTAAAGGGTCCTAGAAGACCTAACCCATCTCTGTCTCTCCATCTCCTACTATTTTCCTATTGACTTATTTACCCTATTTTTCAGTTTCTCAAATACATTCAGCTTTTTCTGTCTCCAAGCCCTTGGGATTTGCTGTTTTCTCTGCCATCTTTGCATCCTCACAGTGTTTCCTCAAAAGCTACTTCTTCAAAAAACATTTCCCTGACAGTCCATCTCCTTTTCCAGTCCCCAGGACTTTTGTTTCTTTTTTTTTTTTTTTTAATGTTTTTATTTATTTCCGAGAGAGAGAGAAAGAGACAGCGTGAACAAGGAAGGGTCAGAGAGAGAGGGAGAAACAGACTCTGAAACAGGCTCCAGGCTCTGAGCTAGCCGTCAGCACAGAGCCTGACGCGGGGCTCGACCCCACGAACTGTGAGATCATAACCTGAGCCGAAGTCGGAGACTTAACCGACTGAGCCACCCAAGTGCCCCTTTTGTTTCTTTTAATATTTATCATTTTCTGAAAACATACTGTTTTTTAAAAATTTTTTGTTAACTTGTTTTTTGTGTCTCTCCCTGAGAAGTATTTCCATGACAAGGATTTTGCTTATCTTGTCACTTTATCTACGGTGGCTAGCATAGGGTCTCGTAAATAGCAGATACCTAATATCTGCTAGATACATGGATGAAAATTAAAGTATTTTAGAAATGTCAAGTGCTATCCAAGTAGCTGTACTTGTTATTCTTTTGGAGAGGAGGGGATGAGAAATGAGAGGAAGGGAAAGATACAAGCAGGGTGCGGTATAAATACCACTGGCTTACAGTCTTGGGTTTGATTCCTTTAACAAGACAAGTATCTGAGAAGACTTGGCTTCCCTTTTTCTAAAAGAAAGATGTTAATATCTGGAAGTCTGTTCTAAGGATTGATGATGTAATATCAAACCAAACAAACAAATATCATGAGAATTGATGCTGGTGCATTTGCCAAATTTTCCTTTTTTTTTAGCCTAAAAGAAAGCTTTTTATTTTCAAATAATTTTAGATGTAAAAGTTGCAAAACAGTGAAGAGTTCCCATACACTCTTACCCTGGAACTGAACTTTTTGAGTTAACAGATTTCTATGTTTCCATTTGATAAAAGACAAAGAAAAGCAGATTCATTAAAGCTCTAAATAATATTCTAGCAGATTGACAAAGTAGTACAATTTTCAATATTTATTTTTAGGGAACTGGGTATGAATTGGAAAAAAATCAGCTTATCATACAAAACAGATAGAAGTTCCCTAAGAGATTATGAAAACTAACGGCCAAATGCATCTAGTCTTTTTTTCTCATTCCACAGGGGACCTGGAGAATTGTTAGCACTGTCACAGTGTAGCCATTTTAAACAAAGTCAAACTATTTACAAGTTTTCCTTGGACAGATTAACTGGATCCTTCTATAAACACAAACAAAAGGCAATATACCCAAAACACCTCATGCTTGAAGGGGTACCTGTAACACCAGTTCTATTGGGTTGCAATGATGCATTCAAATACCACTAGATAATGCGACTGCTCAGAATTGCTGACAACACATTTGCTGCTAAACAAATAGACAATGAGTTGTCCCATTCATGCCATCCAAACTCTTTGAAAACCCTCACTTCACTTACTGATAAGATCACTCGCTCATCAATGGCTGTCTTCAAATGACCTTTTATTAAGGGTATTATGGAATAAAGTGTTACTGAAATGATGTCAATATAAACTGGTTTATATGAGGTGATGTTTATGTAGTCGTCAAAGCATATAGCTCAGCAGAATTCTCTTCAAAACTGATATTCATAATTTGAATAAAACAATTGTTAATAATCTCAAAAATTTTCAGCATATCTAAGAAAAACACAGATATCGACCTAGAATTTTACATTAATCAAGTTTTAAAAACTAGCCAGAGCACTAAGGAAAAAAGAGTGAAATATATCCAAAATATCTATTAATCCACAGCAGAGAAAAAGAACTAAGAAAAGGACAATATATTTTATAGACCTATATAATTACAAGATAATATCATCTGTAACAAAATAGATTTGGGGGGTTAGATACCTTTTCTTCAGGTATACTGTAACGCACATTTTCCAAAAATACTGATGTATTTTCCACATTTGTATACCGTAAAAGAATATGAGCAAAATCTTCTTCACTGATAGTGGTCATCCCATTAGAGTAAGAAAGGAATTCTATTTCTAGAACTTCTGTTTGTAGGTTATCCATGAATCTGTGACAAAAATATATAAGGAATGGGTAAGATAAGTGAAGACTGACGGTGAGGGCTTTGGCTTCCCCATCTGTAAAATGGGGATTACACAAAGACCCTGCAGGGTAGCGATGAGACTTTCAAGAGTTAATGTGCAGTGCCAGGCGATTACTACACCAGACACTATATCCATGTTATTACTATGGGTCACTGAGACTAAGAAGTTGGTAAGATACCTTCTTAGGAATATATAGGTCGTAATCAATCCAGATACCCAGGCATTTCTTATCATTCAGCAACTTCCTATAACACTTATCGAGATAACCACTAGTATACTGGTACTGATGGAAGTGCATGTTTGTTCTAGAGAATATCTTCAGTTAAGATGAAAGCAGCAAAGAGGTGAGGATTTCTGCACCAGACGGTTCCTAGAGACCTTTCTAACTTTAGCATGTTAACATTTTTCAATACAAGCATAAAGTTAATCTCACCTATAAAAATCTTCAAAGTTGAGTTCAGCTTTTCCTTTCTTTCCAAAAAAGTGCACAAGAAGTGTAGTATCTGTTACTAAACTTGTAATGTCATCAGCACGCTTAAAAAATCACAGTTTAAAGGTTAGCTGCAATAAGCAAACAGAATAGCAATACCCAATATCCTTCAAAGAACTTTATCAACATATAAATACCAAGAACATACATATACTAACATTAGAATGAAAAGCATAAGGCTGCATTAATAAATGGCATTATAGGTAAAATGAAGTTCAATATTTAAAAACAGAAATATGACTGAAATTGATCTTTATCCTCAAAAAAATTTAAAGATAGGATTTTAAGTTTTCAAACTCAAATTATGCATACAGGGTTATCTATATTTTAAATTATCTAAAAAAGCTGAAATCCTTATGTCATCACCTAAGTGCTTTCCTAATCAACCTAAAAAGTCAACTTTTTTTAAAGATGTAAAAGACGTAAATTCTTCAGATGCACGAAACAAATGGAGCTGACAATTGTGGGAAGCTTCACAAAATAGGTTCCTTGAAGCACGACATTTTCCTATTTTATTCCACATTTTATGATATTTTCAATAGAAGATACTATATTTTGAAACTATTACTTTGGAAATTACACCATCTATAATTTTGTTTAAAAGTCTTACATTATTTTTTGAATGGGTAAGAAATTAATTCCAGAGGATTTTTCCCTTCACGTTCCAACAAGCGTGTTCTTAAAGTCACATAATTCTAGTTCTTATAAAGTTTAATGGCCTATGAAGAGAGTCCTTTCCTTTAATGTAGCTGTACTGATTTCCCTTTCTTTTTCCTCTCTCCTCTGCCATTCCTTTTTCCTCCTTCTTTCCTTCCTTCCTCACTTGATCAATGACTCATTCCTATCTTATAAACTCAGGTACAAAAATCACAAAATTCAAACGATTGTTAACTTTTCCATATATTATGCTGGAAAATGAAAGAAAAATAAGAGGTTAAATAAGAACTACTACTTTCTGTATATAAGAAAATAAATATACATCTAAAGGTATATATCTGAAATATTACTTCTTGGCCAGAATTCTGATAGTATTTTATAGAAAACATAAGAAGTAGCATACACTTCTCTACAAAGGATTAAGTTGTGATCTATGTTCCCCGAGAAGAAGTCTCGTTTCACTCATCTTCCACACACTAACTTCTGGTAATCCTTTGATTCTTTATAGCTCTCTTCCCAATCTTTCATGAAGACAGCTATTTTATCCTTCATAACATTTGTTGGATCTTTATTTCCCTTCTCCCTAGACCAACTATTATTAACTTCTAATGACTAGTTTGACATTATAGAAACTACATCTTGTGACTGGTTTTTCTTTTAATCCCTGTTTTTTTCTAAAGTGGTCTTTTTGCTACTGTGATTACTCAGGTCTCTCTTAAAAACTCCAACAGGTAAGGTATCTTCTACTTTAAATTATCTAAAATTGTTGAAATTCTTTTAAGTAAGACTATAGATCTTATTTATATGAATTTAGCTTGGATTTTCCTGAGTAATCTCTAGCGTATAAACTCCTTATAAGTAGTTTGAAAGATCTCTACTACTTCTCAGTTTGCTGACAACTCCCAGGATTTTCAGGAGTTGGAATAACTTAGAAGTTTCCTATAATATATCCAACTTCTTTGAAGATCTGATTGCCAGGGAGAAAACAACACAGCCTGGAAGCCAGGGGTCACATACTATCTTTTAAATATACCTTACTGAACAAGCTTATAATGGATTTTGAGAAATATTAGTGGTGCCAGCCTTTCAGAATGCGCTATGTGATACCAGACTAGTATAATTTTTAGTAGTGCTCAAAAGGCACTATCACTTTCACTAGTAGCTTTAAGTTGAGGAGGAAGACTGCTGTAAAGACAGGATTTAAAATCAGAAGACCTGAGTTTATGGATATTTTTACCTTTAGCTTCCTTATCTGTATTATAGGTACAAACCTATATATGATAATGATTGAGGATAAAATTAGGGTATGAATGTAAATGAAGTCTACAAATGTTATTACTGACAGTCAAAAGCTGCTTTGGAGTAAAGTATTAAAACCTTTAGGGAAAAAGAGATATCTCATGTTAATTATAAACATTCTTTTGTGCTGTGTATAGTTAAGTCTAATCCATCATTATTCACAGAACAGCTTAAGTAAGCAGGGGGAGGACATACTTGAGAAGGCATGCCTAAACACAGCATAAGAGCAGAAGCTCTATCCAATCAAAAGTCAGCATGAAGAATCGAGGTATCCATCTAGCAGCTAGAGGAAGAGAATGTGGGGAAGGGATAAAGTGGATAGAAAGAGGGGCCATGGTGTTTTAGGAAAAGTTGCTTACTTCACCAATACACAGTGGTGTGGTGAGCACATAAGATGGTAAGCTCAAGTGTCAGATTTCTGGCGTTGGATCCTGAATTTTTCCTTGTTAGTTGTGTGGCCTTGGGGAAGTTAATCTCTCTGAGGACATTATTACCCTCAGGAATAATAACAGTACCTACCTTGACATGCTGTTGTGAGGCTCAGGTAACACATGTAAATCATTTAGCACTACAACTGGAATATTGTAAATGCTCAATAAATGTTGACTATTGTTTATTTTTGCCAAATCAATATATTTCAAGAAGTTGAAAAAGGACTAGACAAGACAGAAAAGATAATAATGTTGGAGCTTAATGCAAAAAAAGTTCTACACGGTACACTCTTCCTTCTTTTGTTAACTGAAACTACACATACATGTTATATAGATCTGAAAAAAAAAGGTTTCAAGTGAGAACACTCAAAGTTAGTGAACTCCAGTAACATACTTATGAAACGTTTTCTTTTCGTGCTGTGATGTCCTTTACCTCAAGACCTAACGCAGTGAAATGAGATGGCTTTGTTTTATACAGGTTTTAAATAATGACTTCATTCTTCCAGCTTTTCTCATGCCCACTGAGCAGAGCAGATCTTCGTTTACAGTCTTTCAGCATCAAAATCTTATTAGAGTTAGGTTGCACTTATCCAGATAATCCAGACCCACAGAGGCATAAGTAACAGTTTGACATTAGAGAAAAAAAATTAGAAAATGGAAATGGTGAAAACTTTTCTCCCCCCAATTCAATGAAACAGAGCACTGTTGGGAGTCATTGAAAACTATACCAGTGCCCTTAGTATCCTAGCAGTGTTATGTAAGTTAAATCACAGGGGAGTTGGGATAAAATAGAGACTTTATCCCTTTGATTCTTGTGCTCATTGTTAAAATAAACTGAATTCAGGTGTTTTCATAACAAAGCAAGAAAAAGCCACAAAAGAACCCCATGGCCATTTATGAAAGACCCTTACCTTTGCTGGGATTAAAAATTACTTTAAATGATTTCATCAAAAATAAAACAAATTAATAATTTGTATGGAATTAAAAATATGTCAAACTATTATAAATTTTTAAAATATCTTTCAACATAGTTTTATTGATTACAATGGTATAATAATCTTATCTTATCAAACTCTATCCAAGGGAGGGTATCAGAGAGATTTCTAAGCTTTCTTTTGAGCCAGTGTGAATCCTGAAATACTGATGGTATAAACAATTCAATGTTACACTGGCATCAGTAGTAACTGATAAGGAATTACAATGAGTTGTAACTTATCTACAGTTAATTCCCAACTATCCTCTCTAATGTGGGAGGGTAGTAATAGAGATAATCCCCAAATAATTACTTTACTTTAAAAGACAATGTAAGATTTGTTTTCTTTTCTTCTATCAGATTTACTTTCATGATGTTTGAATCAATTCATTAAATAATCTAGTAGCTTATGTCTGAAGTGTAGATTGACTATAGCCAATGGTGTGCTAGTGCACTAGCTCTTTAGGGGAAAAAAAAATCCTGATTTGTAGTGTTGGCCAATTTTGATAGTGTTAATTCTTCTATCAAGGCCACTTTCGAAGACCAACAGGATGTCACGGAATGCTGAGATCTTGGGGAGAGATGTGCAGAATTAGCTGTAGGAAACCATAAAATCTAGCTCCAGCACACCTGTGACAGAGTGATAAACGTCTTCAAAAGGTCTTATGCATACATATAATCTTTGACTATATGTAAGAGCTGACTGGTCTTCTGATATTAAACCTCCCCAGATTTAACATCGCATTAGCAGATTTGTGTCTAATTGTAGGAATTTCTTAGATTAAACACAGGCTGGAGACTGAGAGGTGGACAGTCTCGGATAGAAAGAGAGCAGAGACATGACTGTTAGTTTGAAGCCAGGTCCCAGTTGGGCTGTAGGACACTAAGGCCCATGTCTCCATTTGCTCTTGTTTTTAGGCATTTACTACTATGGGTCTGCATAAATGATTACAGAATTAAGTACTTCTAAAATACCTGTATAAATGGAACATTAATTACCACTTTATGCCTTAAAAATGGTTTAAATTAAAAAATAATTTAAAGGGTTAACTACTGGTCATAATTACATCATATTCACATATCAGAGGTAAATCAGAGAAAGGGCAAAATGTTTTACTTATGTTTTAGGATTTTAAAATTGGGTACAACTGACAAAAGTAACATTGCCAAGTGTTTGCCGTAGTCTCGGGGAGCCAGTGGGATAACACTGCATATGGATAACAGAAGTCACACCTGGATTCCAGCTCACTTCTCCAGATATTTCTAGGTGTAATTTTTCAAAGACAAAGTTTAAGGGCACTTGGGTAGCTTAGTTGGTTAAGCGTCTGACTTCAGCTCAGGTCATGATCTCAAAGTTTGTGAGTTTGAGCCCCGCATCGGGCTCTGTGCTGACAGCTCAGAGCTTGGAGCCTGTTTCAGATTCTGTGTCTCCCTCTCTCTCTGCCCCTCCCACACTCACACTCTGTCTCTCTCTGTTTAATAAACAAACATTTAAAAAAATGTAAAAAAAAGTCAAAGTTTAGAAAAAGAAATAAGAAGCTAACTTTAAAGAAAGAAGGAATGAAAAATATATCTCAGTATATACTAAAAAGTTCTTTGTGGTAGGACTGATAGCTATTTCTAATAAAGTTCTTAAAAATTCTTAATTGGAAATATAAAATTATGTTTAATGTAAAAGACACAGCTATTCTTTTAAAATGACAAGTCACTAAAAACACAAACCAAAACAAATGAGAAATCCCTACTAACAGCAGCATGAGTGGGTGGTGGGAACGCTCCACCTGAGTGCAGCAATAAGGTGCATGTCTCTAGGGAATTCAAAAATAATGAATAATCGTCAGTCTGTTTTTGATTTTCCACACACTGGCAATCCTAAACAATGTCAAGTTAAAATATTCCTCCCATCCTTGACTGACTTCTCCTGCCAAACCTCCCCTATCACTCTTGTAAGCTGCACACTAATATTTGGAAATTTAATATTGAAATCTACCAGGCTCTAAAGCATTAACTATCTTTTACCAAGTTAAAAGTTTCAGCACTTCATGTAACATTGCAAATTATAAGGTTAAAAGATTCAGTGAAACAATAAAATGGTACTTTCAAATTTCCTGAAAGCGATCTTGAAGTTAAAAATAGCAGTATTTCTTTTTAATTAAGTTGCAAAGTACCATTTTGTACAACAAGCCAGTTGATTTAATGTAGACTCTTACAGGTGTCTTTGCAGCCACTGCCAGCAAGCGGACTTACTCAAATACTCCAGTCATACAGAGCAATTATTACTTTACTAGAGAAGAGGGAAAATATAAAATTATTGCTGATTTCATCACTGTAACTCTAAAACGAAAGGAGGACCAGATTAACAAAACAGCAAACAGTACAACGTCCTGGTGGAGGTTTAATTATACCTCTGCAAGGTCTGAAAAGAGTGCTTGGCTTGTATTACGTCTCAGTGTATCCCAATAGCTTCTGGAGACAAGTTCCTCAGCATCTGTCTTAAGTACCTGTAGAAGTTTTAAGAAGTACATCTGAAATCTAAAGAACAGTCACAAAGAACGATAATTTATACACTTTAAGTCTCTTCAAGCCAACCTTGAAAAGAAAACACATTAGCTTACCTGTTTTGTTTTCTGCTGTGCACAACAGTATTATATTACACTGCTGGTAAACCCAGGGTATTTTTTCAAAGGTGTAATGGTATATAACCACTATGTCCACGTACAATGTGGCTTTGTCAAAAAGAATCACATTCCTCACCCCTCCCCCATGCTGTCTGCTGAAACATGCATAACTTCTAAGAAAGTGTGAAGTAAAAATTTTCTTCACACCTTATGTGAATTCATTTGGAGAATATTTTGGTAATTTTTAGCAATCTATGAAAATGATACTTAACATAAAAATCAATTATTCTTGGCAAGTGTACATTGTGTCAGTGCATCAAAGAATCAAAATGACCACATTCATATTTAGAGAAACAAAACTTAAACTAATCTAAAACTCATAAAAAATAAATACGCCAGTTTAGGTTAAACCACTGAAGGCTTCTCTGGGATCTGGTAGGTGCGTCTACCATGGAGAGAAGAGGTACTTCTGATCTACTGCGAGGACACAGCACTAGCTTCCATCTCAGTATTAGCAAGTCTGAAGAAGGCGATACGGAGAGGAAGAAGTGCAGTCTAATCTTCCTATGAAAAAGCAGAACTACAGGCTTAACTTGGGTATCTGTAAACAAACATAATTAAATGCAGTTTCTGTCATAGTTTTTCAGGGAAGACTTCACAGGTTCTCAGGCTTGGTATTCTGGTTACTGTGAGAAGAAAATGGTGCTCAGTTTACTTAGGAGTGAGTGGTTGATGATTTTTATTTTTTTTGTGTGTTAATTTTTAAAAGTCTGGTGCCATTAATACAATTATAATGCAGTTGGGAATTATTTCAAAACACTAAGCTTTATTTCGTTATTACTAATTAGAAAAAACACTGCCTACTGCCCATATTTTAATAAAATCTTAGTAAGATGTTAATAATGAAGTATGACTTAGCAGAAATCACTTATATAAGCATAGACATACTTATTACCATCAGTGTAAATACAGTAATATGTCAGAGGATCTGCTCATCACCCCCTCTAGTAACAAAAGTAAGATGTAACTAAGCAGTTATAAGCCAAGTAAGTAAAATTAGCTGAATTTAGAACAAAGTTCATTTCTTTATATAAGTATGATAGAACCTCAATAAATGTTAGCTGGATTAAATACTCTGCAAAGATTATCCCACTATTTTCAAGGTATATACATTTTTTATTGTAACTGAGGTTATGGTACAGAAAGGGGTTGTTAAACCTATCCAACTAGAAAATAAGGCTTACTACCCTGTTATTCAGAGGGTAACAGGAAGGATTCACTTTGTAAAGCCATGCCTCTCTCCTTCTTCCAACAGTGGTCACCATCACCACACACACGCACGCACGCAAGCAAGCACACACACACGCACACACACTGACACTGATGACATCAGAAGGATGTTCATAACATATGAAGGGATACAATTAGTTTGACAGACTATATTAATATGGTTCTCTACAGAAAAAAAAATATTTTCTGAGCACAGAAAAGAAGTAAATGTATTCAAACACACTGATTATCCCTGAATGATGAGACTGAGATATGCTTTATGTTCCTCTTTTTGCTTTCTTATATTTTAAAATATTTTAAGAATTTTATTTATCTATGAGGATAATATACTATACTTTTCGATAAAAATATCTTATTTATAACAACAGCCTAACAGTCCCTCCTGTAGAAAGTTTTCACACTCAACATTTAGCTCCAAAGATTAAGTTATGATAGAATATATAACTGAATTGCTATAACTGCCAATATATGTTGTTTTATCCATAGTTTTTTAGATTTTAGAGTTTCTGGGAAAAGGGACAATATTCTTACAGCAACTATTGTCATTCCTGGTATTAATATGTCATTCCTTGTATTGAGGGTAAAAGCTAACATATAAGTGATTTTCTTGGCACCGTCACGGATTCCTATATGTGTGTCTGTTAAGGAGCCAGTATTTAATTTGTTAATGACATTGGGGATGAAATTGAGAGTAGGTTTTCAGAACATGCAAAACTAGTAGAAAACTTTAATGTCAGAAAAATATAACACAACATTTAAAACAAGCTTAAAGTAGCAATGAAAATCAGCCTAGATTTTAATAGCAAGAAAGGCAAAGCAAATACAAAGTCAGAATGTACACATGCAGACTAAGAAAAGAGTGAGGGGGATATGCCCAAGTGTAACCAAGCATTGTGATTGTTCTGATACCGATATCATGATGCTTTGATATGTAAATGTAGGAAAACTTGCAAAGACTTCTTGAAGTCTTCTCAGTGTCTGAGAAGTGAGCTTTAGGCCTCCTTACTAAAATGTTAAGTTAGGTGTAGAAATTATTAAAAGAGGTAAAAGAAGACATAGTTCAGAAGAACTTCAAAAATGGATGGCACAGGCAAAGTGATGTCCCACATGTACCGTACTTGTTAAGTCTGATATGTTTTTTGCCTAAGTTTAGAGTCTGTTATTAGTAGAACTTCCTTAAACTTTGAAATCTTGGTCAAGAATTCCCTATGCCTTTTTGGATGAGCCCAGGGTAGGATCCTATTGAAGGTATTCCATGACATTAATGATGTAAAGGATAAAAGGGAGGAAGGAGCAAAGGTCTGAAAGCTTCCTATGTTGAAATACTAACTCCCAAGGTGATGGTTTGAGGAGGAAGTGGGGCCTCTGGGAGGTGATTAGGTCTCGAGGGCAGAGTCTTCATGAATGGGATTAGTGCCCTTATAAAAGAGGCCTGAGAGAGTTCATTAGCCTCCTTCCACCACTTGAGGACCCAGTGAGAAAGTGCTATTTATGAATCATGACACTGGCCCTCATCAGCTACCACACTCCATCTGTCAGCTCCATGGTCTTAGACTTCCCAGCTTCCAGAATTGTGAGAAATGTTTGTTCTTTATAAGCCACTCAGTTTATGGTATTTTGTTATAATAACATGAATTAACTAAGACAGAAGGAAAAAGAGGAGGATGGAAAGAAGGAAGGACGGAAGGATGGGAGGAAGGAAGGGAGGAAATAAATAAAAGAAGGGAGAAAGGAAAGACAGAAGGAAGGAAGAGAAAAGGAATTTAGGAAAAAAGACTGATTTCACAAAGGGACTATATCATTGTGGTAAGCAGAATAATGGCTCTGTAAAGTTGTCCACATGCAGATAGGCAAATACTCTATACACTGTTAGGATCTGACAAAGGTTATACTTAGAGATTAGGCAAACTGGAAAAATAAAACCAAAGCAGCAGCCTATGGAATCAGACAGTAAACGGTCTTTACTGTTAGTGATGCTCAAAAACATACACAAAAAATAAAAACAAACAAATAAAAAATAATCTGGGCCACTATGACAACTATGGCCTAAAAAACCATAATCCAAGAATTGTAATCTAAAGTTACATAAGACCGGGGCACCTGGCTGGCTCAGCTGGTTAAGCGTCCGACTCTTGATTTCAGGTCAGGATCTTACTGTTCATGAGTTTGAGCCCCACATCAGGCTATTTGCTGCCAGTGTGGAACCTGCTTGGGAATCTCTCTCCCTCTCTCTGGGCCCTCCTGTGCTTTCTCACTCTCTCCCTCTCTCAAAAATAAATAAACTTAAAAAAATAAAGTTACACAGGACTGCAGTTCTCTCCAGTATATCACAGCACCCCAAACCCACACCCACCCCTTCCTGGAAAAAACACATCCCTAATCCAGTCCTTGAAGAATCTCTACAGACACATTCCAACAAACAGATGCTCAAAATGCAAAATTACTAAACACAAAAGAACATAAACCACCATAAGTGAGACCCAGCAGGAACAACAAACAACAGAACCAAACCTGCAAACTTCAGATAGTGAAATTACTAGATATGGAATACAAAGTAAGTTTAATAAGTTTAAAGAATATGAAGCTGTATTTGAAAGGAGTTTTCAGTAAGAACAGACTACCAAAAATGAACTGGGTGATCTGAAAAAAAGAACCAAATGATATCTCTAGACATTAAAGAAGGGACTACTGAAACTTAGTATCATATTATATATAGCTGGGGAGGAAATTAGTGAACTGGAATATGATGTGAATAAATTATACAGAATGCAATATGAAAAGATAAAAATATGGCACATTATTCAAGAGAAGTTAAGACACAAAGAAGACAGCATTAATTCTATGAAAGTTCCAGAAACCAGTAGTGGAGAAAATGGGAAAGAAACCATATCCAGAGAGATACTGGCAGTAAGTATTCAAGAATTAATGAAAAAATACAATCTCTATTTTGATAAGACCAATAAATTTCATGATAAATAAAGAGAAAAAGATACACTGTAGTAAAAGTGTAGAATACCAAAGGCAAACAGAATCTTAAAAGTAGCTAGAAAGAAAAACAAGATTAACCACAAAATAATAATTAGACTTGGAGCTGACCTTTCAATTTCAGTAATAGAAGCCAGAAAACTGGAATGACACCATAATTTGCTGAGAATAAATGTCAACCTATATCTAGTAAGATTATTCTTCCAAATAAGTGCACAGATATATGTGTGTGTGTGTGCATGTGTGTGTGTGTATGTAATGAATCATTATATTATACACTGAAACTAATAGAATGTTCTATGTTAATCATATCATATCTCAATTTTAAAATAATAAAAAATAAAGATAAATGAATTCATAGAAACAGAACAGATTGGTAGTTGCTACAGTAGATAAGGGAGCAGTGGGTGAAGATGGTTAAAAGGTATAAACTTCTAACTATAAAGATAAATAAGTCTTGGGGATGTAAGGTACAACATGGTGACTATAGTTAATAATATTGTACTGTCTAATGGAAGTTGCTAAGAGAGTAGTTCTCAGCACAAGGAAAACAATTTATAACTATCTGAGGTGACAAAGGTCAACTAAACTTATTATGGTAATCACTT